ACAACAAACTGATACGAAAACCATACAGTTTTGAAGGTCACTTTCAAAATGTACCTCAACCTTACAATAAACAGCTAAAAGAAGAAGCAATCGCTATATACTTTGTCTAGTACACAGATAAGAAGTAATATACATACTTTGCCTACAGTATACATTTGTGTTAAGTGAAGTAACATTCGTACTTTGAATAGCACATACAGTAAGCAAAACAATATTTTCCTTTCGACATAATTAACAATATAAGTAAAAGTAAACAACGCTGGGAGGTGTGTCCCATCCGTTTCAAAAAAAATCCAAGCCGTGGCCCGTCTGTGCGATACAGACTAGGCTCACCGCCGCTTTGCACTTTTACTTTGAGAGCTTTGGTACAGCGCGTGATGTGGGAACTCTCGCCTGCTCACAGTAGAAGTGCATATCTAAATCGGTTGTACCGTGGGGGGGGGGGGTGTTCTGTGTGGTGCGTTATCTTCTTGTGCGTGTCTATTGTATGTGTGAATAAATATATATGGGAATGCGAAGAATGCGATGAGAAGACTCCTTGATTAATCTCAGATAGACGTGGTCAACTCGGCCTCCTAATGTGGCCCGGGTGTATTTTAACAATACTTTGCTAGCCCATACACCGAGATACTATTTCTTCTCAAGCCCAACCTTCCTCTCGACTCAATCCGAGCCAAAGCAAACCCAGGTGCCGTACTAGTCAATTAAAGTACGAGGGTCCTAATCCCGAGCCGGAATAGCTCCAATCCACACTATGTGCCAATGCCTGCTGTTTGGATGTATCTTGCCACTGCGTCTGCGAGCTCCTCCTTTTCACACTACCATAGGGGTTTTCAATGTAGATATCCGGCCTTTTCGCAGTATAAGTATCCGATCTCTGATGTCCTTGCACACGCGAATATGCCAATGGTCTCGAATCCGTGGGTGCAAAGTCGGTGTTTGCGTACGTGTAATCAGCGGCATACGTATTTTCTGCATTCCCGAAGGAAGTGTAACCATGCGGGTCCACTCTCGACGTCCTCCTGTCCAAACCACTATTATTGGGACGTTCCCACCGAGGGTTGTCCGGCATATGACCGTCGCTAGGCAACTCCGGTTGATGGTTATTAGCACCTGACGACCACTGCTGGTACACGTTATCGTTGCCGGCAAATCCGCTATCCGTGCTGCAATGCTTCTGCCTGTGTTCATTACCACCCACAAGCACTCCGCTGTCACTGCGATATATGTCATTACCTTGCAAGTGACTGTCACTTTGTGTATAATGTGCATCAACAATGGGTGGGTAGTCCGCATAATCGGCATACACGTACGCATCGTGTCGGTACTCCGTACTGTCGTGTCTGTAAACGTTTACATCTTGTAGAGGCGACCAACGCGCACCATAGACAGCCTCCATACTGGGAGAAACATAGGGAGGTGTTCTATTGATAGGATTAACCTCGTATGTCTGATCGGCCTTGATCTGCTCTTGTTCCGTAATTCTGATCCACGAACTCAATGTCCGCCTAGCATCGTCTGCTTCTACATCACTAGACGAAAGGCTGTAGTTGGTCGCACGTAGCAGTTCAAGTTCCATCTGATTGATATCTGCTGTGGTTATGTCTGACATCTCAGCCCATAGACTGTTGACTGTTGGAATGTCGTACAAAAATTTCGTGGCCACCATCATGCACACGACACTGATCTGCACGCTACATTTCTCAGCATTGAACCCGCATTCATCAAAGCGTGTTTTCAAGCGTTTCAAATACACCATGGTAACTATAAGGGCTGATTCACACACATCGAAGTATTTCATCAGTTTGGTGACAAGATTCAACAGGTCTAACTTGTACGCCTGGCTGCATTCTTGCTCCCAGAGCGCTAAAGTATACTCGACGAAAGCGGCTGTGAAGAGAGAAAAATATACACAAAATTAGTTATAAAGACATATATCAGCTAAACGAATCCTAATATAACATTGATGCAGGAAGAACACGAAGATAAGTTGATCACGGAATATGAAACGAAAGACTTACGTGCTAGGTGGAAACACGGACCCGTCGAATCTAAGAATTGGGAGTTGACGTCTTCGTGTGCACGAGATGTGTGGCCTTCATAGGCCTCCACATCGGCATGTGTATTCCATTCATTGTTGTATCTACTATTCGGCTGAGCATTGTTGTAGTATTGATCTGTGTGAGGGTACTGGTCTGATTGCGCCGTCAAAGTGTGGTAAACATTAGATTGCGCTTCGGTTTGGGCAACCTGACCTTCTGAGTGATACCGATCGGGTGCGTAGTACTGATTGCCTACACTCGGGGATGTGAGATCCACGTCATGGCTATAACCACGTGCATGATGTTGAAGGCTGATCATATTGTTTTGTAGTCACAAAGTGACATTGTCCAAGGTTAATAGTTAGCGATTGCTAACGTGATGACTGCGTCGTCAAGAAGGTAGATAGCGTGTCCTAGCTTGTCTCTAGATAAGCTCTTCCAATCTGTCACAACGAGTAACACTACGGCTACTGTCGGGTACGTATGGAAGTGGAGGCTGTTATAACCTTATGTGTCTATGTATGTAATGATATCGTAACGGATGTTACGGACTACCGGAGAAGTGCTATACGCACACGGCTGCGAAGTGTTCATGTTCCAAAATTCAACACGCAGCGCACAAAGGGCCGCCAATATTTTCGATACATCATTTTTTTCTTCAAATTCTCCTGGGCCAAGCAAATCCACCACATTGCACACGAAAGTCCAAATAAATAAAACTATTGCAATTTCTTAACCTGAACCGAACCGAAAGTAGGTATTTTTTAATATTTTGTTTTTATTCAACTTCGAGACATGGACCCTTCATTTCTGTATGCCCGTTGTTTGTTTTAAATACATACAGCGAATATGAAATATAGTATATTCCGAACCGCATTGCAAATAACATCTTTCTAATGTTTTTAATTACTGCCGAACTCTGCAAATTGTGGCCAGGTGACACACCGTGACACCGAGTGGCAGATTCAAAGATACGCGCGCTGATAATCGCAGATATTTTGCAATAAAAAACTACCCAATTTAAAACCCCGACAATCAGACCCGGCAAAATAACAGAGCTTTTTGTACCTCTGCCACTAATTGTTTTGATAATCTGATCTGTTGTCTGTGAAGAGTTCCGACTTTGCTAGTAGTTTCGGTTTCTCTTCGTTCTCGCAGGCTCTCCACTCGCGCATTCTCGTGGAGACTCGTTTTCCGCGGTAATCAACAAGTTGCAAAATGGAACAATCCCAATTCTCACGCACAGTAATGCTAAATTTAAATTTTAATATGACACAATTGTTGTATGATTCATGGACCGCCCTGTTTTTTTTGAAGGGGGCGGGGTTAGCTCTAGAGAGAGAATTGGGTTGACACGACCTATTTATTGTACTTTCTATAAATACGTTTTTGTTTTTGTTTTAAAAGTTCATGTTGGCGTTGTGGTACGTATTTTTTTATTTAAAAACGTAGCCCCCACAAATCACACATATTTTACATAATGAAATGGGAATGAGAAGTGGAAACCTTTCACAATCACCATGCCAAAATTATGGAACCCGAACAAAAACAGGAACATGTCGGTTGTCGGGTCGAGAGTGACGAGACTCGAGCATAGCCTACTTTAAAAAAGACAGCAAGTTAAGAATATCGAGATATTTATGCTTGCGAATCGCGGCTGTGAAAAAAAATTGTATATTGTACCCCGAACCCTCGATACCCGTACAACGGTCGGTCGGTACTAATAAATATTTCATTTGTTTTTTTGAAAACAACTATCCTTAGAAAATGTTTTATTTATATCTTATATATATTGGGTCAGATTGTCACATGTTATTTAATTTTGTCCATGATCCACTCAAACTCAACTCTCAATGTCCCAACCAAACTATTGTTACGTCTATTTACCAGTCAACTTCCCGAGACTCAAAGAGTCACGGACTCATCACAAGGCCGAAGCCCATGGCCAAAGGTCACCGTAGGCATTTACACCACACACAAGTGCAAGCCGTTTATCTCCAACCAATCAGCACTCTGTTGCTAATTAAATTAATTTGTAGAAAATTGCAGTGTACCACACCCCTCGGTCTATAGCCTTAGGCTACGCACGGCGCACCAAAAAAGAAAAGTGACAAAGGAACAAATGATGGAAACAAATATTGCTGTTTATAAAAAATGGGGGAGCTTGAGTAGGTCGAGACCTGTTGAGAGTTTGAGACCAGTTGGGGCAGACACGGGCTTTAAAACACTCTCTGATCTGTCTCACACTCTACTCTCTCAGACAGTAGAGAGAGGGGGGAGTGTAGTATTATTAGTCTTTCTCCACTCTCTCTAGTAGAGACTACTAGAGCGAGATCACCCGGGGCCCAGAATCCTCACATGGTGGTTTGTTAATTATTACAGGCCTCTTTAGCTATTGTTTCGATGTTTGATGGTTTTAACATATGTATAATTAAATAATTGCATCTCTATCACCATGTATTTATCACCAACTTTAGATGGGTTTAATGGCACACAGAGCTCGAAGATTTCGAAATGTATTTACTTGTTCATCTATTTGTTTGATTTCAGAAGGCTATGATCTATTTTAAAAACTGTGTAGATATTCGAAGCCGATGTCCGTTTAGTTAAATATGCTGCAGGCAATTTCACCCATCTCGCCAGGTGGACTGCGCGAAAATAAATACTTGTCTTAGTTCAACTGTGTCTGTGTGTGCTCTAGCTGCTAAATGTGGTCTGTAGAATACACACGAGCTTTCGTCTGTAGCTGTTGTCTGCTTATTGCTTTGGTCGTTGTGCTCGCTATCTGAAATGAAGGAGACCATTAAAACAAAGGAGTGTCTCCAGCGGTTGACTTGCGGATAATTATGGTTGAAACTAAGCCAAATAAAGAATCATCGAATAAGCACTTTTCTTTAGATGCATTCATACAGCGCTGTTGCGCTCGGATACAAATCAATGCTATTATTCGTAATTCGACGCCTCTACCTATAGGTCAACTACACACCTGCAATATGTGTGCACCGATCAGAAGTTAATGTGCAGTCTCAAAAAGCTAAAGAGGATACAAGAGAATACGCAATTAGCGTGTACCAATTACTATCGGCAGGTTTAAATACTCCCCAGCTGCGATGTTGATTCTCCAGGAGGATCCATTAAATAATCTCATCTTTATTCCAATGGTCTGATTGATAATCCTAGGCATTCACAAGGATTGTTGTAACAAACACTCGCACTAGCAGATCCAGCACGTGATATAATTATGGCAACCAAACGCAAAGCTCAATTCGATTTCTTTTGAGCTGTGACACCTTCTTGTTTGTACTCCCACGACGTCACGGGCACGAACGATCCCCAGAAGTCATCATCCTCTCGCAGCAGATTGGGATACAGCCAGAAGTACGTATTACCGCCCGTGCAGGTCCAGACAATACCAAACGTGATCAAGCGCAGAATGCAAGTAGCGAAGAAGATCAGAATGAGACCAATAGCAGCCATGGACAGGTAGTACACGCCGTCTCGCATAAACTGTGGCCACAGAGGGAACAGGGTACCCGCAAACACGGCAGTCAGCACACAGACACCTGGTATAGGGTGGAGGAGAGTGGTCGAGGGTTTAGGGTTTACAGTGTTGTAGGGTGTAGGAGAGTGGTCGATTGGTGTACGGATGATTTCGAGCTGAGACAGTCAAGAGAATAGGTACACACAATACGCTGATGAATACGTAAAGATGAATCAGGAGATGCTCACACAGAAGTATCACTACACACACTACTTTGACGCATGCATAGCCTTAGATTCCTTCCTGAGCCTGGGTATGTAAGCCCTAAGTTACTCGAGAATAGTGCGGTCATGACAAAGCTAGAAGTTATCACAGGGCCATTAAAGTCTGTGAGCAACTCGCACATCAGAGGATGACCGTAGTGTATTGGCGGGCTTAAGGTCGCCTGAACCCTAAAACCTTAATTGCCCATAAGGAGCTTCACGCGGCGGCTGCAACCGCAGCCGGGATATTGTACTATGTACGCTTACAGCTATGTCGACAACCCATCATGTCGACTGCGACTATAACTAAGGCTGAATGTGTGCTAATAAACATTAGCAACCGAGCAAAGACCCTATCACTACACCGTGGTACCCGGAAACTTACCGAGTGCTGTGTTCAGCCACTTCTGAATGTCAAAGGTCCAGATGTAGGGTGTTTGGTCACAGACAAACACCTGCTTGGAGATATGTATGGGCTGTAGCTTCTTCGCACCCGATCCAGTCTTGATTTTCTCGGCTTGGTGGAAATACTCGCCCTTCCTTAGCAATCTGGATAGGCACGCGAGTCGGTGTAGATGGCTTAGTAAACGACTCGAGATGCGCAGTAGCAACAATGTCAGTGAACATACGATAGTTCATAGCTGGCGTACGGGCTATACAACCCACATAGATGGTGCATTGTAGGATTCAACCCAGTTTATCACTCCAAAGCAAACAGCATAGATAGTCTGGGCAGTGAACACGGCACTACCGATCTGTTCGGTCCTTTCTCTCACACACGCATAGACAGCACTACATCACAAACACCAGCGGACAGACTGTAGTTCACAGATGCCGTAGTCACGTGATACCGTGCTAGAAAGAATGTGGAGTACGCGACGCCTGTGCACAAGCAGAATGTAATCCGTTTCTATTTAGGGTTTAGGGTTTGAGGGTTTAGGGTTTGAGGGTTTACTCATACATACCATACAAGTAGCTTAGTTCTCTCTATATACTTTAAACATATAGTCCGTGTGTATTCGAAACACACGCGCACAAACATACACTCACTGATTTGGCAAGCACACACACACACATCATATGAAACTTTTTAAGCTCATAGCCAACAAACAGACCCATTCAGTTAATCTTATGGATGCACGTGTGGGATAGATGTACAAAACGAAAGGCATACAAGTCTTGCCATGTATATATAAGTACATACAATATTATATATACAAATCTCATCCCAACAGTCTTGTCACATAATATATAAGTATATACAAGTCTTATATATATAAATCTCATCCAACAGTCTTGTCACGTATATATATAAGTATATATAAGTCTTATATGTATAAATCGCCAACAGTCTGGTCACGTATATATGAGTATACATAAGTCGTACATATACTACAGACAATGTACGCACTATAGTTTCGTATACGTAATACAAATCGCATCCAACCCCACAGCCACAGCCACAGCCACAGCCACAGCCACAGCCACACAGAGAGCTTACGGGCATGACAATTGCCTATGCCGATATACATGCAATACACCAACCAAACCGATACGCGCAAACATACACACAATCGAAACAGTCCTCCTATATCGAGGCGTAGAATTTCAACTCCGATTTGGCCCCTAAAACCCCGCATTGCATCCATTAAAAGACCACACCGCTTCCATCGGATACCCACCTCTCCATCATATATATGGCGCCAGCCTTCCTCTTGATACCAAACTTTTCAGACTTAGCCAGACATTTGACAGCTGCTAGGCCTCGGAAGTACTCGCATCGCTTCTCCTGTGTGGCACTCCATTCTGTGCGTACATTCTTGCGCAAGTAAGTCACAACGGGCACCAGATCCGCTTCATCCAGCTCAGCTTTCTGGAATGGGATGAGATAGGATAGGATAAGAGAAGATAAGATAAGAAAGTAAGGATAGGATATATATATATATATATATATGTAGATACAACTAAATATTCATATAAATATATA